CCCCCCCCTCCCCCCTCCCCCCAAAGCTCTGGTAGTGGAAATATCAACCAACATAGTTGGTAGGGGGGGGCGCCTACTACTACTACTACTACTACTACTACTACTATTAAAACTACTGACGACCTGAAGGCTGCAAACTACAACGACTTCAAGCAATGGATGCAGAGGCATGCGCCTTGCCCCCATGCATGGCGTTTTTGATTTTTTTGAAAATGTGACAATGCCCAAAAAAGTGATCCGTGCAGGTATGGCCACAACGCGTTGGGCCCCCAGAATGAGCCTGATCTGTGCTGTTGAGTGAAACTCGTTGCTTTGAACCTCGGACGCATGCTCAAACTTCGCCCTCGACAGGAATTCACATCGTTGCCCCAACCCCGTTCAACCATACATGTGGTTCTAATGCATATCCGGAACATGTAAGGGGTAGTAGTATCCAAGACGCATCGGCCTCCGGCTACCGCAGCCGCAAGCCGTATGCGGTGACAGTTGTTGATATTCTGCTGGAGCTGAGAAGCACTTAAAATCACCCGTATCTTGCAGTGCTGGCACATGCTGCAGGGATTGCAAGCTTCGTGCAAGTGGTCATGCTACATACGCATCTTGTTGCAAACCTTGAGGGATCATATCAGGAGCTGTCAATAGCTAAGAGCACAGAGTCCAAGTTTGTGTTGTCAGGCATGAGGATGATGTCTCCAGCTTCCAGCAACTCAGCTGAAGAGCTGGAGGGCTTTTGGAAAGCTTTGGACAGTAGGTTTACCATTGGCCCATGTCACGGAATGGGACCGTAGCAGGAGTGGCTCAAAATGAAGTCCTTCTTCTACAGTCCATACATGGGGACCTGTGGAAGAGGAAGAAAGAACTGAGAAACTCCTTCTATTCAGAAATTTATGTGTTTGGAGAATCTTAGTTCCAGTTTTCTAGGATTCATTCAACTGTTACTTGACCACCTTGTGGTGCTGACCGAAGCCTGCCCTGGTACACAGAAAGCCCTCTCATGGATACCTGGGAGTGGGGCTGCACCCACGAAGGAGACTGAACATGTTGGTCCTTATTCCCCGAAAGCCGCCCGTAATTCTCAGCACTGTGCAGAGGGAGGGCTACTGAGCCAAGCACATGCAAAAGGAAGTATCTGGAGTTCATGGAGTACCAGAAGGCTGTCAAGGACGGGCATGTGAGCACCTAGGCGTGGCACCACTGCAGGTGCGAGTTTCCGAGAATAGGGGACAAAAATAGACGCCAAAATGCTACAATCCTTATTCTAAGGACCCCCAAGAGGTACGAAGGCAAGGAGCTTCTGTCAAAGATGCTGGTGCCACTACTGCGAACTCACTTGTGCTCAGTTGTTACCATGTGAGCTATAGTCTAAACTCCTTAGAGGGGGTTATCTAAGGGATTCTATTATAGGGAACTATGATACGGGGTACTAAGGGGGACACTAGGAGTTTAGATCATAGCTCATGTGCAGTCCACACCTTTTGCCCAGTCGCCCAGCTGCAGCGAGCAGGAGCACACGCCTGATCAGGCGCAGGGCTACCAGGAGCACGGCCAAGGGCTGCCAAAGCAGATCCAGCATTTTCGCTTACAAGCCTGTTTGCCGTATGGAGGGAGCACATGAGCAGCCAACAAGAGCCCAGCTCGTTGCATTTTTTTGCGTGCCAAGTTAAACTCCGCACAGTTTCTGCAAAGAGCTGCCCCAGCGCAAAGTTCCCGACTTCATAGAAGCGTCGCCTAGATTTTCAGAGCTACGGCAGGGCTCTGCGTAGATTTTCCAAAGAGTCCATGTCATGACAGGCGCCAAGATGCTCACACTGCGCAAGAAGCTTGCTACACGTGCAAGTTGCCCAACATTGTTCTGACATCTTGAAAAACCCTCAACCGTGCCAGAAACCCAGGCACTCTAAACTTTAAGATACCGACTCCTCAGCCATTTCTTCACGTGGAAGGACTACTCCAAGTACCTTGTGGGCCACGGGGGAGGTCCCGTGGACTTCCAGGACAGATATCTACCGAACCTGACCATTTTCCGCTCAAACATCCACCCGTGTCGCACCTCCATGGTAAATATGAGGTGTTTTGTAAATCAGCATGCTTTTGCTCGCAATGCCGAGCAAGAGTCTTCTCGTTTGAGTTGTACTTGTAGTCGCCTCATAGTCAGAAGTATAGTCTTAACTGGTTCCGCCACCAAGACCAGCCCTCAGCTGATAAAATGCCAGAATGTTTCCCTTCATACCTCTGTCAACCCTCATGCCTGGGCAATGTAAAGTGACCTCACCCGACCTCTCTCTAAATGGTACAAAAATGGCCCTGAACTGGGAATTGGAATTATTCTAAATTACAGTGCCCATGCTATATACACAATGATTTCTGTAACCTTTCTTAGCCTGTGGTGGCCGTTCCTTGGATCTGCATCCTGGGTGGAATGCAGAGACTCCGCTACGCGTGGACGTGTCTGCTGTGGTGCTTCTGTTGCCTGAACCCAAAAGTATGTAGAACAATCGTCTTCTGGGCTTGTTTCAAATGGTTTTTGCCCATTCTTTCTTCCTTTTTGCCTACTTGAAACGTCTAGGCAGTACCAGCACAACAGACTCGTATTTCATGAGGGGCGCATTGCATCTGTGCCGCTGGAGTATATTGCCATCGTTTGTTCGACTGTAGCGGATTGTCTTAGCCAGCAGCGCATGGATAAGCAAAAGAGCAATAGAATACAAGTTGTAAGAATCGTAATATTAGGGTACTAAATCTTGCTGAAGCAATGATCGACTAATGCAAAAACCCAGCAACAGAACTAAAGAGGAGTACACGGACTACCAGAAGTACATGGCCAACCATGCGCAGTACGAGGACTGCCCTACAGGGCGCAGTTCGGAACTGTGGAGGTTGCATCCGCAGTCGCATAAAACTTGCCTTGAACTCATGATTCCAAAGATCTGTTTCTGCATCTCTTTGTTTTAATCCTTGGGAGGACTTCTCCAAGTACATGACAATGCAGGCTTCGCCCCTCTGTGGTCACAGAGTTTCTGAGCCTGGCACAGAGCGTTCATGATTCATGACCGTTCACGATTACTTGCATGAAGCTACAAATGCTCGTGAGCTCAGCACCCAACCTTCGCTGACAGGGCGGATCATCTCCGTCCTTCGACGAATACTTGAAGTTCCAGCAGTACACTGCAGGCTACCTCCACTCGGCGAAGAAGAGCTGAAGAAGTGTCTTGTGTTGAATGTCAAGGAATCTGAGGGGACAAGCCTTGGTGAAAGCAACCATCTCCGATGGGCAGGTCAGCAGGCTCCAGCAGCGCCGGACTACAGCCATTACCTGAACGTGCCAAAGTTCACCAGCGGCGGCAAGGACGTTACACAGATGCTAGCTGCGTCGATAAGCTCTTGAAGCAATTTTGCTACCTGCCAGCACACCCACCCGTAGCATACTGTGGCCCCTCTGTCTGACCCCCAGAACGCAAATGTTCAAATCCCATGCGCTCAGCCAAAGAGTGTCCTCTCTTATACCTCTATATACCCCTGTATAACCCTATATGATACCCGTATACCCCCATGTAACCCTATATTGTACCCTCATATAAGCCTATAATATACCCCATCCGCAGGATGTCCCACAGGACTACCAGCACTTCGCAGAGCTCGGGACTTGGCAAATCAAAGCATGGACTTGGAACGTTGTTTGTTCTTCTGGGATGGAGTATAGTAAAGGGGATATTGGGGTATCAAATAGGGTTGTATAGGGGCAGATAAGGGTGTAATATGGGGTTATATAGGAATAATGGAAAAGAACATGGAAACTGGTATTTTAGCAAGGTTGATGTGGATGTGATCTGCTGTTGACATGTACATCCGAGTCGTAGCAGTGTAATCTTCCCCGAGAAGCTGTGTGACTTGCAACGGCTGAAATACCAGTATCCGTTTTCTGTTCCATTATCCATATATAATTCTATAATATACTCCTATATACCCCTATTCTACCCCATCCAGTCAGAAAGACTGTTGTAGATTATGGATGCTGATAGCGCTGACAGTTGTGCGCAGTTTGCAGGCTGTCTTGTGAGTGGTCATGTTCATTGGAAGCGCCTGCAGTTTACAGCTGCGGCAGTACTCTGAGGAATCATCGTGATGATCAACACGTCTTGGGTGTCATTGCCATCTCTTAACCTGCCAGGTTTCAGAACTACCTGAAGAGCCAGAGCCAGGGCAGTCCAAACCTTAGGCATCTCAAGAGGTCCTCGGAGCCAGGTTTTGGAGTTGGGCTGCAGAGGGAGTTGCTGTTCTCTTTCTGCTAATGGTTCATGAAGGAATGATAAAGAACATGGAAACTATTATAATATCATATGCTATATAGGGACTACTAGTTGGGTCTGCAAGGTCTGTGTCTTCTCTTACTCAACTCATGGTGAATATATAACCCTAATGTAACCCCAATGTAACCCCAATAAAACACCAATATAACCCGAATATAACACCAATATAACACCAATATAACACCAACATAACCCGAATATAACTCCGATGTAACCCTAAATGGTAGTTTCCATTTAATTTTAGCCATGGTTGTTCCATTCCTTGTCAAGGTCAGAGCCCCGTCTCCTTCGCTGCAAAGGAGGTGCCAGGGGTATCCTGGGACCTTAGGATGTTTAGGGTTTAGGGTATCCCGGGACCTTAGGGTGGATATAGGTACTCTTTGGGGTAAGATACGGTTATATTGGGGTTCTGTTGGGATAATGGAAAGTAACATGGAAACTGTACAGAGTATAGGGGTGTAATTTTGGGGTTATATACAGGGATAACGGAAGATGAAATGGTAACTACTATTTGGGATTGCAATCGGGATTGTGGTGCAAGCATTGCGGAAGAGACGGTAAACGTGTGCGGATTACAGCCGCTGTCTTGCTTCGTTTACCCTGAAGAGATGTGGGGGGTTTCCCAAAATTAGGGGTACGCTTGAAAGGGGGTTATAGGCGTTATATAGGGGTATGTAGGGGTATATAGGGTTTAGGGTTTGGGGGTTTCCCAAAATTAGGAGTAGCTTTTTGGTGGTCCCCAAAATAGAGATTATAGTAGTTTGGGGTCTATATCGGGGTCCTCTCATTTTGGGAAACTACCATGGCTCCTCTAAGTGGAGAGACTGCAAACCTCAAAGCGCACACTGCCAACACAGCAAGTGAGCAAAACCTGTCAGAATCATTTTTTGATTCTGATTGTTGCTGCCGCAAATGTTTATCCGCACTGCACTTAGTCAATCGTGGGATATGCTGCCTTCTTGCGTCGGTTTTTTAGCACATCCACAATCCCAACTTGAACCAGGGCTTTTCAACTGCAAGTTAGGGCGGGAGCTGCCATGATCTTCTTGAATTCGGGGCATAACAAACGTTACCATTCCTTGGGTGTTGCAGTTAACCAGGTGGGGAAAGCTCAAGTTCCCAGGCAATATCCAAAAGGTCCTTATACAGTTACTGAACAATTTATGAATAGCATTAGCGTTTTGTAGCATACCTACAGTAGCTATAGTCCCCCTAAAGTAGATAGAACATGGTTTTGGATACATTGTAATAAGATCCCCATATACCCCATATTCTATCTACCTAAGGTGGACTATAGGCATGAATTGACCCGACGCCTGCCATATTACCACACTCCGCCAGGCAGATGCGTCCGAAGACTCCTCCAAGTCAGCAAAGGATCCCGGAAGGGCTAAGTAGATAGAACATGGGGTATATGGGGATCTTATTCTATTATACCCAAAGCCATATTCTATCTACTTGGGGGGACTATAGGGGTTTAGGCTTTAGGGGTCCCATAGATTATAAAGTTGCGTCTTGTACGTGGGGAAAGAAGGAGTGGCAAGCAATACCAGCCATAGTCTAAACTCCTTAAAGGTGTTCATATAGGGGATTATTTAGGGGAATATTACAGGGTGCTATTAAGGGGGTACTAGGGTACTAGGAGTTCAGACTATAGCTCATATGGAAATCACTTCATTATTGGTGGAGAAGGGTTCCCTGTCCGACTCACAACCAGTAAGGGAGGGGCTGTCTTGCTTCTGTCTCAGAAGCTCCGGTGCTCGTGATGAGGAGGTGTAAGCAGTAGGCGCGGTCTTGAGGTTGATATGGGCGAAAGGATTTGCGACTTTGGCCTGGCCGTGAAGTCATCTGCGAGCAAATTCACGTTTAGATGAAGACTGCCGTAAATAGTTAGAAGCAGCAGGATTGCGATGCTTGCTGGTGTTGCCGGCTCCTATCCCTCATCTAGCTCTTATCCCCCATTCAAGTAAGCTGGAGGACGAAGCCTCTTCAAAAGCGGTCCACGCATGAGACCTGAAAGCCAAGCGTTGGAGAAGAATGATACCACCACATGAGCTATAGTCTACACTCCTTAAAGGGGTATATATAGGGGATTATATATGGGACTACTATAGGGGTTATTAAGGGGGATACTAGGAGTTTAGACAATGGTTCACATGACTACTACATCTCAAAAGGGCTACATCTCGAAAGAGGCCTCCTGCGTCACCAAACTTGAACAGTCGTCAGGCTCCTTTTAAAGCATTCCAGAATGCATCTACACCTTTGAAACATCCAAATGAGCCATAGTCTAAACTCCTTAAAGGGGGGATATATAGGGGATTGTATAGGGACTACTATAGGGGTTATTAAGGGGGATACTAGGAGTTTAGACTACAGCTCAAATGTTCTTGACGATCCTTCCGCGACGCCTTTTTCACCACTGTCTGAATCTAAATCCTATACTGAGGCCTACGATACATTGACAGATTCCCACCGCAATTTGTTGGTTCGTTCACTAGAAGTCATGGCTGAGTAGAGTAGTATTGTCAATGCAAATAATGCAGTCCCCAGTAAACAGCAAGATTGCAGCCGTGTACTTGGCTCATGGCGGGCTACAAGTCTGTTTAGAAGCAGGATAACTACACCTGAAAACATTGTTGGGGGTTACTTCTGACCCCAACTCCACACTCAAAACCCTAAACCCTAAACGCTAAACCCTAAACCCTAAACCCTCAAACCCTAAACCCTAAACTCTAAACCCTACGCGGAGGAGGCTTCTTCGGAGGAGGAGTCTAAGAAAGCAACACCCAGCTCCCAGCTACTGGGCAGCAAGTGTCTTCAGTGGGGTTCAGGGTTTAGGGTCTTGCGTAGGCCT